TGGATCTGCCCTTGGGTAATTTTGTATTGTGGTTTTCATGGGTGGTTCACATCATCAAAGAAATGGTGTAAAAACGCTTTAAAATACCGTTGTATGGGTTCTGACGCGATCACATTTCCATCGTATTCAATCTGTAAAACTTCGTGTTTGAACTAAACAGGAGTGTTAAATTTGACGCCTCTGATTAGGTTCCAGAATGTTGAAAAAGGCCCCTAACAAAGGGCAGATGTTCAAGACCAAATCCGCCAGTTTACGGGAGTTTTGAAGAATAATTGCGAAGCAAAAAATCAAGTTGCTTGCAGCTGCGTTAATTGTTCTGTTGCTTTACCCATAATACTGATAGTCAAAGTTTCGTACATTTTCGACCACCCTTTTGGTGGGTAATCAAAACAAATTTTCGACTGACGAGAAGACAGACATGGGGGCCCCAATTACACTTATCTGTCACTATCAAATCCTTTAAAAGATCGCTTTTAATTCCAGTTTAACTTTAATCATGGCCCTTTGCACATCTGGTACTCTGCACGAGCACAATGGAATTGAATGCCCTATTTGAATGCGACCACCCGTTCTAAGGGCGTTCATATTACACGAATCCGAATTGTTGAAAGTTTTGTTTGCCGGTTACTTTTTATCGTGGTATTTGAAACGTTTCAGTAGTCGGAATGATTATTTCGATATCTGCCAGCTTTTTTGTCGGTGGATATGGATGGTGCGTTTTAAGAGCGTGTTGAATGGATTTTTCAACTCAAAATGTAGTTTTTTGGAAAGTCGAACTGGAGTAGTCGCCCCAAGGGCTTGATTTCAGCGAGAAAATTATTTGCAAGTGATCCAAGCTTTAGAGCGCGAAAAGAGAATTGGAAAACACCACACTTAATAGTTAACCTTAAAAACAAAATGCCTTAACTTTGGGGCTGGATAACTTTTGATTGCGGGGCGCAATTTGATTTTTTTGGAGCCTTTTCTGACCCAATTCTTTTCCAGTCAGTGAGTGTTTTTGGAAAAAATTAGTGCTGCAGATAAAGATGCCACAGGGTGGAAGATGAAGCAATGCGAAAKTTCTGAAAATTCAACAAATTGGGAGCACAATTWGAAAAAARAATTGTCGGATTTCAGGCTAATTGGTATAAAGATACACATACCTCTTTGCTCGAGCGTATTTTTGAATTTTTTACGAATATMTTTTGCTTATCGGRCAAGCTCAAAAAATCAACGTTTCGGTCTTGCGGKAATAATGTGTTTCATATTGAACCGATWTCAAACTATCGAGCTCATGTTGAAACGAAAATCTGATATACAGAGTTGCATTATTAAACAGATTGTTTTAAGCTGAAGTTCMCTTTAACTGAAGGTCTGCCAGAATCCGGGACTTTTGCGAGWCTGCAGTTCTGATTCTGGACACCCTGTGTATTTAATTTTYATCTTCAGYTGACTAGGAACTTTTAGCTTCAACATGAGCTTTATGTTTTCAAAATCGGTCAGAGAGGGAAAATGGTWAAAGAACCAAAAAGTAAATTTTTTGAACRCCCTATAAATTCTAGAGATGGGCGAAACATTCAAAAACCTTTTTATGCCTTTGGTGTTGAAATCCATGAACACTTTTTTGTTTTAAAACCACAGCAAGTTTGCATTGTTCTATTTTTCACCTTGCAGGAATTTTATCTCGAACACTAAATTTTTAAACATTCACAGGCAGGCAGGAAAACCATTGGATTGGAGAMAGCTTCCAACCGAAATAATTTTCGGGAGGGAATAGTGAATGAAAATAATGGCAAATAAAATAAAAAGAGATATTTATAATAATTTTTATGTACGTAACAACAATTAAATTTTGCTACATAATAATTACATTCAGTATGTTATTTCCTAGGTAGTTTTGGCATAGTGGGGTAACTGCAGTAGCTGCTTAAAAATATGTATACTATGTACATTAGGTTGATAAGTGGGTAGTTACAAAAATATTTACACCAATCCATATACTTAGCTTAACCGATTAGCTGAACTGGCTCTTCGACTGAATCAAATAAATCGGGTATATAGCAAGCAAAACTCCTCAATTTGACACTTCTTAAGATATGTACGCCTCAATAAACACACAAAGGTCCTTAACTCACTGCTGTTTGCACAATAACCCCGCGTCTTCCTCATCAACTCAGCTCTCGAACCCTCAAACCAGTCCAGACATTGGCGGTCGGGGACTGGAAGGCAAACTATGCACTGCCGCCGCCACTGCTGCCTGATGATGGTAGTACAAAGAGCTGGGATAACCTCCCGAAGACCCTCCCGTACTACCAGGACTTTCTCTCGTGTCCAGCGAATGATGCAGACCTAGAGCCGAGTGATTTTGGTCGAACGGATGTCGCATGGACGAGTTGGCTGACTCGTGATATAGAATAGGAACTCGTACGAGTCGTTGAGCTGCATGTGCCATATTGGCGGCTTCCAACTCGGCTGCCAGTTGACGCTTCCATTTGTTTCGACGGTTTTGGAACCAAATTTTCACTTGGGTTTCTGTTAGGTGCAAACTTGCTGCTAGTCCTGCTCGTTCTGATGATGACAAATATCTGAAAAAAATTGAAAGTTTAACCCCGGTTTTACTACCAAAACAAAAAAAGGTGAATGAACACTGTTTGAACGCAGGAATGTAAAGATACATAACGACTGGTCAAGTGAGGAGAACCGAATTGGCAAGACCTTTGATCAACGAAGATATGGAATGAAGTCGGGCACCAATGGAAGTTGATACGGGAAAATAGAGGGAACTCTTCCAAAATGTTCCAAAGGCTTTGCCACATCTTTTTCCCACATGCAGCTGAATGCTGGTTTGATGTTGAAGAAAATTACAGAATAGCGGATTATCATCGCTCGAGAGTTCGTAGAGGAACGAATAGACAATACAGCAAGTGACGATTGTTTTAAAAGCACTGAGCAAACATCCCGGAATTGTGAAGAGAATGGACGAGATATTCAAAATATGTTACAGGCAAGACAAACCTTCAAACTCATTACCTTTTCATATCAAAGGTAGATTCCAATTGAAAAACTTGTGACCTGGAAAACACAGTCCTAGTTTTCTTTTTCCTCTTATTGGACAGCGAGCTGGCCGGACTTAAGCCATCAGGCCCTTGAATCTTCTTGTCCTTATCATTATCGTAGTCGCTCTCCTCGTCTTCTCCTTCTTCATCTATCACCATATTTTCCGCGTCTCTGAATGAGGGACTTTTCGATCGCTGGTAACCATCCATTGGACTTTTCGACCGCCTTCCAAAGCTCGGCTCCATGTAGGCTGGATGATTGGAGAGTCTGGGCGATGGAGATGTGGGAGGGGAGCGCTGATGATCAGAAGGTGAAGAGGGTCGGGAGGAGCGACTCTCATTGAGGATTGGATGGGAGTGGTCTCCTCTTGGGGAGAGTGGAGGCGATTGGTCGTCATTGGTTGAACCACCTGAAAGCAATTAACAAGTTCATGTAGGCAGCGTGAAATGTGTGGAAGATTAGCACGCCAGTTCAGAAGGAAGCCATTAAAGGATCGACTAAAACGACACGATTTGCTGTTATTAAAATAAACCGCTTTCCCAGTTGAAAATCGCGGAAAGCAGATTAGGTAGCACTTTTATTGTTTGCCAAGATTGTGCTTTTCGCCGACGATGGCGCGTTTGTAGGGCTTTCGTCGATTAGAGTCTAAACTTGACGTAAGACTTCGGAAGCCTTTTCGGTGTCGCTTAAATTCTCTTGAAGCAAATCTGCCTTGGGGTGGGAGTTATTGAAGCGAACGGGACTCTAATCGCAAGACATGAAGGTAAAGAGCTACGGCCGTTCTGAGACATTTCAATCGCCGAGAAGTTTATATTCACCTACTAATTAACTATTTTTTTATGTTCACTTGCTTACATGAGTGGACAGAGGATGGTTCGATATATTTCTTGCTTTAGAAAGAGGAAGGATATTGATTGATGACCGTTTTATGATTCGACAGGAATGGTTGATTTTTGTAGCATTAGAACAATGCCTAATTTTCCAAAAATTTTTAAATGGGGAAAACGACTTCTAGCTGTTCGTTTTATCAGTGGTATTCACGTATTCCGAGCCGTCGTTCTCGAAAGAAGCCCGGATTGGAAAGTCTGCATTTTCACGTTTCATTTCACTGTTAGGAATTAGAAAACCTTGCATCAAGTGTTTAAGGATGAACATTTAATCCAAATTTTAAGTAGAAAATTTTGCTTTTCAAAAGGGAACAGTGCCAACAGCCTCAAACGCGCAATTTCTATTATTAATTATTTAAAAGTCTGTTTAGGTGAAATGTATCTCCTACCTGTAGGGCTGAGTCTCTCCCTGCGAATTTGAGGGGCGGAAATTCTTCCCCAATACCAGTGCATGGCTCGAGGGTCTGCTGGGGCCCCACAAAGGGCTGCATATCTGCTACTGGCTGCAGCAAAAGCCTCGAATTGAGACATCAATCCCAATCTGAAATATTTATTGCCCAATCTTAGAATGTTGCTTAATTTTTTTATTATTAATTCTATTCATTGTATCTGGGAAAACCGTACAGACAAAGGAAGCAAAAATATTTAAAAATACATTTGTATTTAGTTCACGGTGGTAAAAGGTAACACCCGGAAAGTTGCTTTAATTGCGAAATCTGGTTAGAGGAAGTTAAAGGAATAATTAAAACCGACGGCGCAGCTCAGCTTAGAGCGAATTTCGCGGCGTTTAGGGCGCCCCAGATGGGAAAATCGGATCGTCTTGAAGCTGTTCAATTCTTAAAACTCTTAAATTTCTCTTTAAACATTTATCGGTTCAGTTGCGAATCGATAGAATCGGCACAGAAGCGCACTTTAGTGGATTTCGGAGTAAAACTCCGGTTTTAAGGTCTGCTCGCTCTTATTAGCGATTACTTCGTATGAAACAACGTGGCCTTACTTCAATTAATGAAGTCACCAGAATAATTTATTGCAAATTTCAAATTGGGGCTCGATCACTTCCTAATAGGAACTGAACAAAGCCAAAATGTTGTAAAATTAGTAGTGTTACGGCACTGTTTTGGTTGATCTTTGCCGTTTGCCGTGCCGTCTCTCGCATTAAATTTGCATCGCTAAGTTCAGTGTTTCTGCAAGGCAGGAGAACTTCTTGAGCGGAAGCAGCAACTTCCGTTGATTCCCTAAGCGGCTTATGCAGGCTCTCTTAAGTGCTTCAATATATCGTTCCTGCAAAATCGCTCAACTCGAAAATTGGTGCTGCAAAACGCGTTGTTCGCTTTTCACAGGTGCATTCGATCGACGCTGTTTAAATCAATTGAAACATTAATATCTGATATAATTGCCGACATGGCTTAACATTCGAATTGTGAACTGATCGTTCAGATCTGCCGAAATCAAATAGATAATAAACGCAACAAACAAATTCGCCAATTATTGCCCAACGGATTGAATTAAATTTGCGCTTTATTCTGCGACTATTATTCGAATGATTTTCCGACTTTTGTTCGGAATTGTATCAAATAAAACCCTCGACCAATTCCCTAATTAGTGCTGAATATTTTTGTGTAAAATGGTTTCGATTTAGCATTGATTGGACCAAACGAGTTCGTCAAAGGGACGCGAAATTGATAACTGTTTTTGCTCGGTTACAACACTCAATACCCTGCTCGGTTTTAACTAGCAAAATCACATTTGTTATTTGGATTTCATTGTACAGGGTGTCCGGTCTTTGAGTGCCATGTTGCACTGTTTGAGTGCAACAACAATTTTTACACTTATTTATACGGAGTTTCCGGAAAATCAGGTGGTGACTTTAGTGGATAATATAGTCAAGTTTGTATTGCAGTTTTCCGTAATCTCAAAAATAACAGCTTCTGTTAATTATATTCTTTGCTTGTTCATCTATTGCTCGCATAATTTCTGTAAAGATTGCTCGGTATGAATGATCAAAACCTACTATGCTGTGTGTTGTGGGTGAAGTAATAAGCGACATTTTTTATTGTTAATCTTTTATAAACTGACAATGTACAAATCAAAATAACCGGGTTTCACCTCTCAAAACAGCCGTTTTTGAGAAACAATTCTTTAAGGAACATCTTGCAGAAATAGTAATTTTATGAGTTGACGTCAGAAAATTGAATTAGATGAATCCGAAACATAATTATTCAATATTGATATGCCTGATTCTAATAGTGTAGTAAAGCATCTCCAAGAATTTTGCACAAAGAAGTATTTCTTCAACAAAATTTGAAAATTTCAAGCATTTACTTTTATCCATAGAAGACCAGAAGAGTCTGGTTCTTTCAATACAAATCTCTTGACACGGATACGAACAGAAGCAGTTGAAGCTCGTGTTTTAACTTGACTCTAACAGCTTTTAGCTAAAGTTGACCTCAACAGCCGAATATTGCATCGGAATGGGAAACCATTGAATGTTGTTCACAAAATTCAACAATTTCGATTCAAAAGTTACGCACTTTTTGCAAGTCGTTCGCTTCAACTTCATCTCAGGCCAATCCTGAATGAAGATTCGGCACTTTGGGCCAAATTTTGCATAAAATAACCCCCCTGTCGACAGTAGGGTTTCCTAAAAAAATTCGCTACTGCAAGCCAAAAAACTTGTGTTTTTTTTTGTAAAAATTACCCATTCAGCTCATATTGGCCGAATGAGACGAATATTCTGAATCTTTTTTTTGACAAAAATCAACAATTTTTATAAAAAACACATTTTATTAAAGTATGCATAGAAGAAGAAGAAAAACGCAGCTCCAGCTGTTATAAATACATTGCAAGATGTTCGCGATTGAAATGTTCTGGCACAATAATTTTTTTGGGTAAAAACTCATATAAAGCTCTAATAACGAAAATAAATAGGTGACCAAACAAATGCAAAACTCAAAACAACACAGCCTTCAATGCAACACCAAATTTGATATATAAAAACTGGCATTGATGGTTCAAATAAATAAAACAGAAAACTTGACATCGCTAATGCATTTGCACTTGCCTAGTCATTGTAATATAATAAATAACCAAAGTTTAGTAGCAACATTTAGTATCGAATTGCCCAAATAGCTCTGGCAAATAATTCCAAGTAAAATGTAATTCATTTCACTTTAATGGTAAACGGGAATGAGTCAAAATTGAAACAATGGCCGGCAATCGGACGGGGTTTTATTAATAATGGTTATTTTTAATTTGACTTAATTTGCCCCAGCACCGGCTGCCAAACGTTTAATAATAGTCGAATATTTTAATTTAAATAATATTAGCGGCAAATTGCGCTACATATAAATAACATTATATTCGTATGGTTGCGGATTGTTTATTTTCCGATTACATTCAGCTGATGATCATAAAATGGTTGGTTTTTTATTTCTTTGCCACTAAATATATGAATAGTTTGGTCTAAACTGGAATAATTCTCATGCAAAGCTTTAGATCGCATGAGCACTTACCTACTAAAAGGCTACTAAGACTGGAAATAGTTCAAGTAAACTCAAATAGAATGATGTTGAATTGAAGCATTTGATTAGGTTTTTGTTTAGAGGGTATCATCCAATAAACAGAGCATTTCAATACTGTTTTACACAAAAATGGCATTTTTCAAGCGATCACCATCGTTTTAAAATACGATAGTTTAACTTTTTTTAGTATGAGCTGAGTCGCTAGAAAAAAGCCATTTATTTGCTATAACACTTATATCTGTTTCGTTCGGAAGACGCTTATTTTGTTAAAAATTATATGGGCTTTTTTCATATCACATATTGAATAAGAAAAGTTTGGTCAAATCGCAGTAATTTATGTTCCCACAAAACAATTTAATTTAATTTGTAGAACCTGGGTTTATTTTTCGTTAACATAAAACAGTGTAAAGTTGATTAATTAACTCGATGAAAAAGAAGTTAATCATCAAATTAATTCTATAAACATTTTTGATTGTATTCGAATTAGTTTCACTTGGTGGTTACCAAAAATTTTTGGCTTCAATTTTGCCAAAGTTAAACTTTACGTAAAGGATAAAAATAACAATCTTTCTTGGGAATGACTGATAATTTATATTTGTCTATTTTATCGTTTGATAATGCGGAATCGTCGGGAAACACTTTTCTAAACCGGATTGGTTGCTTATTTTTAAGTAGAATGTTTTTCAATATTGGATACACATGTATTTTTGTTACGTTGAATAAGTGTGGCTGGTTTTGCCGGTTTTTAAGCCTCTATTTCGACCTACCAAGGACTTGATAGGCTGGCATTCAGGGCAAGTACGCCTTTGATAGGAGCGGCATGAGAATTGAAAAATGAACATGCAGGATTTTTTTAAATTTCTGACCACACATTTTTTTTAAGTCAATTAATTGTGCATTTTGAATCATTATGTATACTCTTGCTTTTGATATATTATGCGGAAGCAACGTAAATTTATAACAATACTTTATGGGAAATGGTTTTACAACCGGGCTAAAGATGTTTTCCAAATGGTTTCCTATGTAAAGGATGTATGGTAAAATCGCGCAAAGAAGAATTGAAGGATGATGCTTCATTGAAAAAAATATTTGCAAATTTGTGTGGTTTGTGGCAGTGTTTGAAGACTCACTTCGTATTTTTTGAAAGTTGTATCTTGCCAAAAGAAAGACCGATTGGGTCGATAGCCTTTTTCTGTAGGAAATAAAGATTTTCTATATATACATATCTGGCCAATCAGTTAGATATAAAAACTTTAAATGCCAAAACATTCGTCGAAACTTAAAAATTTAACAGCCCAATTCATGCTAAGTTGTACTGAATTTTCCGAGTAATACTCCACAAGAACTTGCCTTTAGAAATAATTTTCTGTTGAAGTTATTCCACACTTGAATTAATGGCAGTGAATAAAAATGTTCATGGTATTTTTTGAGAAAGTCGCAAAGCAGCAAAATTCTCTGACAAAGAAAATGTATGGTTTTATATGAACGTTGCTCCCTTCTTCAAGAGCTCCTGAATAGGTCCCTATAGAACTCTTCGTTGAGACTTTATATTCAGAACTTACACAAATTCAGTTATTACAGAAATTCAAATTACGCAGGAAATTTTGTAATAGGTAATGCAATGCAAAAGTTTGATTTGTAACATTTTAGAGGATTGTTTAACTTTATTTTACGTTGCTTACATGGTCGGATATAAGTCGTGTTTAATTTTATGTTTCAAAATATAATCTTTTATTTGTTTGTTGAACAAATTTGTCTATGAGAAAATCCTGGGGTTTCTTCGGGAATAATTTAAAAGTCAACTGCCAACCGAATTTATAGCTGAAATTATTGTATCAACAAAAATTTCAATAAATTTTTTAAACGGGATTAAAAACGAATTACTTTTGTATAACATTTGCCACTTTTTATATCACACCAGAAATTGTTCTACACGAAATTAGAAACTACATATGCATTCACATTTCTGTCTAATAATAAAAACACAGAATAATTAATCAAAAATGATAAACGAAACTATAGGTACATATTCTTTTGTCTCTGGAATATGAAATATGTCGTAACTCTATAGGCATTTGATCACATTTTACCATCTTCGGCAAATTGGCTGTAGCGCAAAAGCAGGAGACACTTAAATGTGTTTAAATTGAAAGAGTTTTCTAAGGGGCGAATCACTTCAACAAAATTGAAATTCCATATCAACGTTTTGGGCGCTTAAAGTTAAGAGCCTCAAAAATATACAATGGCAATTTAAGCCTAAAATATAGCCTGATTTGATCCTAAATAGCTCGCAACTTACTTAGTATCGGACAACAAGGTTCTGACAATAAATTGGGGATTAATAAATAAACACAATTTAGGGTTGAGCTTCATCGGGCTGCAACGCCTTGTAGGAAGAAGAAATATCGCTTGCCATCAAGACTCGTCGCTTTATTTCTTTTATGCATTCTCTCTTGGACCAATTGAAGATTTACCTTGTAAGCATAGTACCATTAGGATTAGTAGAATCGACCACACTTTGTCCGTTGGCCAAATGAGCGGTAAACTCCGTTTTCTTCTCGACCGGTTCATCGCGCGATAAAATGCTCGAAATCGAAAAGTTGGTCGAATTGCCGGAAATTTTCTGAGTACTGGTAACTTTCGCATCTCGATCATGCTTATCGTCATCGTCACTGGTTCGAATCACCGGAAAACACGTAGTCACATGATGGTTCACCATCCTGCCAAAGTCCGGTTCCGGAGAATGGTTTCGACTGTTGGAGGACTCCGGAGATGACACCACGTTAACCTCGATGTCTCTGACCGGAGAGCTCATATTCGAACACCAAAACCAGCCGATAAATAAAAGACCAGCGCGTATTTTTACACATTAATCAAAAAACGCACCCGAACGAACAACCACTGTTCCAAGCCGATCGTGAAATAGCCTTTCTGTTTGTTTAGATTGCATTTGCTTGCTTGGGGCGGTCATATCAAGGACACACCCCTATTGAATGACGCCGGGACCCACCCCTAGTTTGTTCCTTTCTTTCTCTTGGCCACGGCACCCGTCATGCCGGTGCAAGGGGTTGCTCGTGTTGCTTCTTTCTCGCACTTTCTCTTCTTATTTCATCCCTCTGGCCCCCATTATTTGTTGCGCTCGCACTTGCTGGAAAGTTATATGACATCTCTGTTCAGTCAGCACCCTTTAAAGTGGTGTTTCTTGGCAGTTGGGGAATTTTTCTGTCGTGGATTATGCCATATTCGCTTTGCCTAATTTGTCGGGGAGGCGAGCTGTGAAATTGGCTGTTTTCTAGCTTACGAGCTGCGGGTTTTGTCGAGAAATTGCCACTCTTTTAGCGGAATTAAGCCGTTAAATGTGATACTTTTTGAAATGGATTCGCCACCAAATGTGACTTTGTAGTCGTCTGCAAAATTATTTCTGCTTTTAGCCTACTCATTGCCAAATTACACTCCAGGAAAACGTCGCTGGATATTCTTAGTTTCACTTATCAATAGAGTCAATAGAGCAACTTTAATTTTTTCGCTGCTATCATTTTATGAAAATACATGAAAAACTTTATTACATTAATTACATTATTAGTTCTCAAAACTGCTCCAACTTAATGCCGCCGTCGGAATCCACACATTTATATTGATCAGTTGAAAGGGTCCAATAAAGGTAATTGAGGATTTCCCATGTCACTTTTATATTAATTTAAAGCGTTTGAAATTTTTTATTTGCACACAAAGTTGCACTTTTATTTCAAGCTCAACCGTAACCGGTTGGCATTAGGAGCAAAAACATTCAGCTTAATGTGCAACTTTTCTAAAGCTATTATTGGTTCAAACCAATGGCCGGCAGGATTTTAGATTTAACTCTGCTCGATCATTTCGCGCAAAATATTCAAAATATTGCAAAATTTGTTTTCCAAATTAGCGGTTTATTATTTTTAGTTGAAACATACTATATTTGAACTACTTATATTGACAATTTGTACGGACAGTTCGATCAAGAATGATTCAAAATTAGGCGATAAAATGGTGCCAGATAAATATAGCTGCTTTTGTATGAAACATTTTTCTTCAACTTTTATATGTACTATTTCGAATTGTGTGTTTTCCATAATCGTTTTTCTGTCACTTCGGATTAAAATTGCTTTATTTTGCAGTTTGCACTTTTTTAAATCGCCTCTAAACGGAGAGTAGGTAAGATAAAGTAATCGTCGAAGAAACGAAGGAACAGGTTTCGTAATCAGCAAAAAGAAATGAGGCACTAAACTAAACCAAACATACAACTTCCGAGAAACTTGTAAAAGCTTATTCGAGTTCCATTTTAAATTCGCCTTGCTTCTGCCGACGACTTGGCTTTGTTTGCGGGAATATTCGAATAAATGCCATTGTGGCGGCACTGGGCATAATATAAATGAAATTGCTAAATATGTGGCAGATTAAATGAAGATTTGTTGGCAATCAATGGAAATTGTTTATGATAAATGAGTAAAGAAAAATTGGCCACCTGAAATTTTGCTAAACTAAACTTGATTAACATTAAAATTTCCATCTGTAGTAGGTATCTGTTTTCGTTCTTTTTCTTTTTTTCTCCTGCCTATATAATTTTCTCTCTACTGTTAACTAATTATTTATTGTTTTGATTCACCTTGAGTTGTCTTCTTCAATTTATTTCCTAATAGTCATTTGGCTGCTTTTATTCTTCATAAATTCCACACACGAATTTTGCAAGAATTCTGCCCATTCTCTGACTAAATTTTAATTTACTAGTTTTACTAGTTTTTTATTTAATTTAATTTTAACTGCTAACACTGTTTTTGCAAGTTGTTCTCAACCGCTTTTAATTCAATTTTCGCTGTGCTATTCGCAGTACTAATTTTGATCTGAATTTTTTATATGTGTGAAATAACTAACTTATTAATACCGAATTTACAAACATTTTGAGAAAAACGTATGTATTTATTAATTTGATTTAACTAAAGGCGGTTTTAGATCTACGGGATGTCCAAAATTCCTTGTATCCCCAATATTGGGGCTTTAGATATGACCATTAATTTGAGCTGGTTTAATTTCTTTCACTTAGGTACTAAACAAGAATTTAAAGTTTAATTTGGCACTTTTGTGGTGTTTTTTCGAAATAGCTGATAAAATAGAAATAAATTAAAAGAAATTTAACCCGTTACAGTATTAAAGGAGGCAAGGAGGAGGTCTTTGCTTCTTTATTTTTTATAGTTCTATACAAGAACCCCCACAGTCTCACTGTTACTATATGTTTTTCAAACGTCTGTAAAATATGTGTTTCTGCATTTCTTCGCAAGTTGTTCCAAAATATTTTAATTTGATCTCCGTCTGTTTTATTCGCAGCAGCAACAAATATTTATTTGCAAGCAAAAATAAATATGAATTAATTAAATGAAAATGAAAATGAGTCGATATACTCAACTTTACGGTCTACACGATCCCTATTAATTGGCTCTCATAAATTAAGATCGATTTGCAAATTTCTCCAGCGCTTATGAAACAAGTTTTTACAAATTCTGTGTTTTTCTTGAGACTTTTGCAAGCAAAGTAGTTGCAATATTTAATGTGTTTCGGTTTTAATAACTTCTTTTTTCATTTAGTGTGGTTCTTCACTTTTTTCATCCTCTAACTGGCGTAATTATTTTTTTGCCTTCTAACATTCTCAATTATTTTTTATATCAACCTACGCTTTTCACCTCATTTTAGAGCGTTTGTTCATTTCAGTTTTTATCGGTTTCATTCAGTTTTTAATCATTTTCTCCTGCTCCAATTTTTTTATTGTTCTCTCTAAGCATTTAGGCCACATTAATCAGAGCCCATTGGCCGCTTTGAGACAAAACGCCATTCCAGATTTAGGCAAACGTTCCAAATGAATAATTTCAATATCGAGTTCGGGCTTTGAATAGCCGATGGCCAATCAATGGGAGCTGTAATTACTGGTGGCCAGCGGCTCAAGTGTCTGTGGATCCTTCGGTTGGAATCGATCAAGCAGACTGAGGCGGTCTTAATCAATTAAAACTGATTGAACTCAATTGCTGTGGGTCAGCAAATGGCTGGCCATCGACGTGCAGAGCCGCCCTTCGGCCCCCCGGGCCTGCTTTACTCTGTTCTCCCAACGTAAATGAGGCAACCTCTACGAGGTCTCATTCATTAATTCCTTTAGCAATGGCGCAATAGATCTTGGGGCTAGGAAACACGGTTTATTAGAATGACTGTCTAAAAAGCAAACCGAAACTGGGGAAAAAGTTGGTTTGAGATGAACATTTAACATTCCAGGGTAGTGGAAACATGTGCAACAATCTCGGTGTCCGTTTAATAGCGGCAGCCGAACCCCCACCATCGCCAGGGGGGCAATCAGCCTAATTCCCCAAACCCATTCAGCTAAACAAGGGATCATCAGAACGGCGGCGCCGCGCCCTCCGCCCCACCACTTTGGGGGTTGTTCCCACCACCGGCTCCCCACACCCCGCCGCCGTCCAATCCCGTTACAAGCCCGATATTTACAACTGTTGCGTCGTCTTTAGCCGCCCGATAAATGAACATAACTTAACTGGAGTTAAACATAACCGCACTTTTTTTATTTGCACGTTAAGTAGCCGCTTCTGATGTTACCAGGGCAGTTTTGATCATCGCGTTTGATCAGAATTTTTGGAGCAGAAATCTACTTATGTGGTACATAAGTGGATTGTAATCCACACTTGCTTTTGTTGTTAGTTGATACTCAGCGTCATAATTTCGATTTGGTTCTTCAGGTTGTTTGGTAGATTTGAGTCCCTGCCGATTTTGTTGCTCATTTTAGGAGTCGGAGGAATTTTGGCCGAATACAAGGAATTCTCAAGAAACTCATTTATTACCCGTATCGGCAGGGG